TGCTGACCCTGTGTCCAGCTGACCCGTGCTGACCTGTGTCCAGCTGTATGTTCTGACCTGTGTTGACCTGTGTCCAGCTGTCCGTGCTGACCCTGTGTCCAGCTGTCCGTGTTGACCTGCGCTGACCCGTGCTGACCCTGTGTCCAGCTGTCCGTGCTGACCCGTGTCCAGCTGACCCGCTTTGACCAGTGTCCAGCTGTCTGTGCTGACCTGTGCTGACCTTGTGTCCAGCTGACCCGTGCTGACCTGTGTCCAGCTGTCCGTGCTGACCTGTGTCCAGCTCTCCATGCTGACCCATGCTGACCCTGTGTCCAGCTGACTCATGCTGACCAGTGTCCAGCTGTCTGTGCTGACCCGTGCTGACCCTGTGTCCAGCTGTCCTTGCTGACCCTGTGTCAAGCTGACTCGTGCTGACCAGTGTCCAGCTGTCCGTGCTGACCTGTGCTGACCCTGTGTCCAGCTGTCCGTGCTGACCCTGTGTCCAGCTGTCCGTGCTGTCCCGTGCTGACCCTGTGTCCAGCTGTCCGTGCAGACCCTGTGTCCAGCTGTCCGTGCTGACCCGCGCTGACCCGTGCCGCTGTGCTCCAGGTTCGGCCAGCTGTCGGACCGCTGGGCCCAGCTGGAGGAGGCCGAGTCGGGGCTGCGGGCGGAGAAGGAGCGTCTGGACAGCGAGGTCCAGCGGCGGGCGGACAGGGAGCGGGAGCTGGACAGGCTGAGGGAGGAGAATGAGAGGTGAGGCGGGTTCGAGTGTCCAGCGTCCCTCCTGCACGGCCTGGAGAGAATCACAGACCCCCGTCTTGCGGGAGAGGAGCTGCTCTCCTCCTCGTGGACAGTTTCCCATCAATCCTGTGGTTGTTCTTCATCCTGAAAACTGGCTTCTTCCCTCTGGCCAGCAGTAGGGCTCCCGAATACTCGCTTGTCCATCCCTGCGTCTGTGAAATTGGTAAACACAGGTAACACAGGTTACACAGGTAACTGTTCACTGTCTTGTCGTGACTATCGCACTCTACTCCCAGGGGTATCTAGACCCGCTCTGAACAGACTGCGGTGTGTCCGGAATTCGGCAGCCGGAATCCTGACCATGTCCAGTGCAAGTGACCATATCACTCCTGTCCTGGAGTCCCTGCACTGGCTTCCTGTCAGGTTTTGAGTCCTCCTGCTCACCTCTAAGGCTGTGCGTGGCTCGGCACCTCAGTACCTGTCTG